CACACACACACACACACACACACACACACACACACACACACACACTTACTGTTTGTTTTATAAAGTGTATAATTTGTAAAAAAAAATGGTTTTCCTCCTCACTGTATCTATTGTATGTATGCATAGTTACCATTTTTTTTTACAAAAACAAAACAACAAAACCATTGTACATTAAAAAGCTCTAGCTTGCCTAAATAAAAAAAKTTAGATGACGATATGCGTTAATTTTGTCAGATGGGTTAGTTTTACTATGCAGAAAGTCAAAATAAACAGCAGCGGTTTTCTAACAGAGCTGATTAAATGTCAGCTCAGTGATAAATTCCTTCAGCAGGGACTGGTCAAAACCTCCAGCACCAACATCACCACAGCAAGGAGACACTTCAGTCCAGTAAAACTCACTTCAGTTCGGGCAGGCTAAATATTGTAACTACTCCTGCAAGACCCCCCTCTACAGACAAAATCAGGTTCCACTGGGTTCAATTATGCAGTTATTTGATTAAAAGCCTTTTAGAGGCAGCAGACTTTCACAAAGTGAAACCCTGCCAAAATACTTCTCTAAATGATCCTTAGTGTTCATGTAATTCTGGTGTATGTGATTTTAGCACAACTCAACTCTGTTCTGCAATATACTTAGATACTGGAAACAGAATACCCTATATATTCGATAATAGAATATCCTATATATTCCAYGAAGGAAAAGACATTTGGCTTTTTTGAGAAACTTAAGTTTGAAATAAATGATTTAATTCAAAACTGATGAGCTAATGGCTAGTGTCATCATGGCCAAAAATCTCTTAATTTTTTTAAAAGTTGATGGGTTGTAAATTATATATATACACATTGCTGTTGTATCAATTTACACAATTATTTCAGCAGGAATATTGGGATTTTCCTGCTGGAAATGCCACAGGCTGCACCAGAAATGCTACAGATAGCTGTAAATGTTATACTTGCTCATGCAAATAACCATAGAACTCTACTTAATGTCCCATATACAATAAGGAGAAGTAATGTCAAGTTTGCATGAACTCCTATGAAATTCTGATGACTGAAGTTGCTCAATGACAACAAAAATGAGTTGTTAGCTTGTCAATCCAGGCAAACCTTACATTTATCTTCAAAGTGAGGCTGTTCAAAAGACCACCAGGGTGAAATACAAAACAGACACACGACTACCTGATGAACACAATGTTTAAAAGCTAAAGATACATGTGTCTTTTTAAGTGATTGACTTGTTTTCTACAACTTGTTCTGTTTTTAAACGAGACAAGTCTGGGAACGCTGAGGATTTTCTGCTGTAATCACATCCCTGACTGATAAAGTCATCACTGTTAACTGTAAATCTCTGCCTCTTTTACCTTACAAGGGCCATTCCTGTAATTGCACCCCACTAAGAAATGAATCAGTCAAAGCAGCTTTCTTCATATTCAGGTTGAGAAAAGAGTTAAAAAACACATTACAGAAGAGGACCACACTGAACAGATATTTCTTCACAGCCTTAGGCTGTAAAAAATACTTAAAACTGAGCAAAAATTACAAAAAAAATAACATTTAGCAGATCATATTTAGCAGATAACTTGAAAAATCACTGTAATTAGGTCATGCCATTATGCTCCATAAATCAGCTGTCCAGAAAATTTGACGGGAGTTAAAAAATGTAAAACGAGCTGGGTTCAACAGCTGGATGTCTGCTTCTAGGAATTTTTATGGAACTGGAGAAAACATCTTCAAACAGTGAAAGCAGGGCTTGTTCCTGCATGTCTCAACACTCATWTATTACTTTACATTAATCTCAGTGTGATGTCTTTAAAGATAAGGATATTAGAAAAAGAAAGCAAAGAAAAAGTCAAGGTGGGCTTTTTTGTAAAATAAAACATAGCTGCTTTTGCCAAAGTTTAGGAGAAAAATGATCTTCACCRCCTTGGGCAACTGTAGCAACTGGAGAATGATGTATATTTTACACAGAAATTTAATTAGTTACCGTTACTTCATATTCAAAAGTCCCAACACTGGCAAATATAGACCCAACTTTATTGATATGTTGCCACAACCCACCACAGCCTTGCTATGGACCTATGGACCTTATAATTCAGTGGACCTCTTCCTGAGAAAAACATTTTTTCTRACTTTCTTGTGGACCTTTATGTTTATATTTCCCCCCCTCCTGACATTTTTAGACTCTTCTGTGGACTTATAGAAGAGTTTCATTCAGCGTGAAGAGGGACTTGTAGGGTTTTTTCACCAATGTCCAAAATCCAGTGATCTCAGACGGGACACAAAGGTTACATGAGAGAAGAAAACCATGCAATGTGTGATATTATTGTTTAATGTTGAAATGATCCCATAGCTGGAGGAAGATGCTATGGTTTGTAGCCTGGGAACATCTTGGCATTCCCAGTAGGAGCTGGACAGTTTTGCTGGGAGGAAGGTGTCGCTTCTATGACCCAAACACTGATGATGGATGGATGGATGGATGGATGGATGGATGGATGGATGGATGGATGGATGGATGGATGGATGGATGGATGGATGGATGGATGGATG